CTGCCACGGCGAGTGCGATCAGGAAAATTGGAACTGACTCGGGCGGCCCCGCCGCCGCCGATGGGGTCGCCGCAGGTGCACCTGGAGGCGCGCAGGGGCGCCAAGCCGTTCCTGTACGCCAGCAGGGAGGACGATTCTGGCGGCGACGACTCCGGCGAGGAGGCTTCCCTTGAAGACACCGATGAGACGGACGAGGGGGGGGGCGCCGGGGAAGGCGGGGACGGCAGCAGCTGGAGCGACGGCGGCGGCGGCGGTGGTGGGCGCCCGAGGGGTTCTCGGAGCGGCAGCCGGGCGGGGTCGTCCTCGCGCGGGAGGAGGAGCAGGAGAGGCAACAGCGGGGCCAGCGGGAGGAGCAGGTCGAGCGCTAAGCTGGCTACGGGCGGGGGCGGGGGTGACACGGACGATATGGAAGGGGGCGCCAACGGCAGGCAGCGGCGACGGCGGCGGCGGTCTCGCGGCAGCGGCCGCGTCTGCAGCACCAGCGGTGGTGGGAGAAGCAAGAGGACCTCCAGCGGCACCGGCGGCGGCAGCAGCAGGAGCAGGGACGCCAGCCTTGCCAGGGAAAAGCAGCGGCAGCAGCAGCAGCAGCAGCAGCAGCGTCGACGGTACGAGAAGCGACACTCGGCGGCGACGATGATGTACCGGAAGCCCGCCGGCAGGAGCGGCCGCCTCGATGGCGGCCCCGGTGGCCTCCTCGGCACCCTCGCGCCGGAGGGGGAGGACGACGTAGTGCCGGTAGTGGCGGTTGGCCTTAACCCCGGGGCGGGCGCCCCCGTAGTCGTCGGCAACGGCGGCAGCGGCGGCGACGGCAACAGCGGCGGGGAGAAGAGGCGGGGGCGGACGGGGTCGACCTCGATGTTCCTCGACCTGAGCAGCCGCTCGCGCTCGCCGTCGCTGACGACGACGGGAAGGGGGGGGGGGACGGCGGGGGCGTCGGCGGCCGCGGCGGCTGCCGCTTCCGCCGCTACGGCGTTGGAGGCGTTTGCGGAGCTCAATCCCACCGCCGCTGCTGCTGCTGCTGCTCCTGCTGCTGCTGCCGGGCGTTCTTCCGCGTTGCCTCCTACGGCGCGCCGCGATTCCTCCTCTCGGTTCCCGCCGCCGCCGCCGACGGCAGCGGCGGGCGCGGAGCTCATTCCTGCCAGAGCGGAGCCAGCTCCAACGCCGACGCCGCCGTCTGCGCGCGGGCTCCGACGGAGGGCGTCTTCGCCTCTGTTGAACTCGGCTGACGCGCCCCCTGAACCGCCGTCGCCGCTGGCGACGGTGGGGCATGGCGACCCTAACGCGGTGGCGGCGAGGCGGGGGGGGCAGAGGAGGAGGCATCGGCGGCGCGGGCAACGGGGGTGACGAGGCACAGCCGCAGGCCTTGACGCCTGGAGCGGCGGCGGCGGCAGCGGTGGCGGCAGCGGCGGCGGCAAGAAAGAGGGCGTCGCCGCCGCAAGGGGCGGCGGTGCCGACAGCGGCCGTGTCTGTTGTGCGGAGCCCCGCCGCCCGCCTGCTCCCGAGAATGAGTTCGTCGGGGACGCTAGGGAGCGGGCTGAGGGGCGGCGTAGGGGTGGACGTGGGCGAGGGGGTGATCGGGAGGAGCCGGAGGGAGAGCGCCATCCTCAACGCTCTGGCGAAGGGCTCCTCGCTGCAGGAAGCCGTCCGCGACAAGGGGCTGGGCGGGGGCACGCGGAGCGTCAGCGTGGGGGGAGACCTCTCTTCCCTGTCTGCGTCCTCCATGATTGAGGCGGGAGAAGCGGCGGCGGGGGCGGGGGCGATGGGTTCTGCTGCCGCCGAATCGGCGGCGGCCGTGATGGCGGCAGCGGGAGGCTTGAAGAAGAGTCGTACTAGCTCGATCGACAGGGTCTCCTCTTCCCCTCAGTTACCTCACGGGCCGGACGTGTTGCTCGGCGCCGGTGCTGCGGGTTCACTGCCGATGGCCGAAGCAGCAGACAGCGGCAGCGTGGCTCAGCCCGGGGGCATGAGGGTATCCTCGGCTCCTCAAGTCCCCGCCGCCGCCGCCGCCGGCAGCAGCGCCGGCGGGCTCGGCGGGCTGGTACCGAAGCGCAACCGAAGGCTGGACATCTCGGGGCAAAACAAGTTTACACCCCGTAAGGACTACCCGCCTTCGTCGATGCTCTTCCAGGTGAGTACGTAGGCCGCGTAGGGTTAACAGGCTGGGAGAAGGCGCACGGGCGTGTTTTGTTTCTCTCCCGTCGGTTTTGCTCTATCGTTGCCCGCTCTACCTTGGTAGGTCTCTCTTTGGTACGTACCAGTTATTTTAATTTGGTCATTGGTGTATCGGCGTGTTTAGTGGAGCCGTGGATCGTGTGTACGCGCGGCGTTCGTTGTATTTGCGGGGATTGTTTTGGGTCACGGGAAGCGAAAATACAATCCGCTTTTTGGTTTGGTTTTCTCCCGCTCTATTGAGTACTTAATCGTGTGGGATCGGGGTCAAGCACGATAAATGAGTTTACTGGATCGGAGCGGTTTCTACATGACCCTTTTCGCGCGGTGCAGAACCCGGTCTTCGTGTCGAATCACTGTTGGCCGAGCCTGTTCGTCGGCCCTTCGCCTCTTCCGACTGGTGTACCCGCCCAGGTAGTTGACCTGTGGCACGACCTAAAGCTGCTGCTGCTGCTGCTGCTGCTGCAGTGCACTGCTGCCTTTTTCACCCTACTGTAAATTGTGCACCACACGTTATGGAACCCGTCCGAAGTGACCGTAACGCGAGTGACCATGTACGACGACCGGACGAACCTACGTTTTCCCAGTCCTCGGCCTTACCCTTCCGCACGTGCGCTGACCTTTTACACCTGTCATCGGTCGCCACACGGTCAACAACCAGGCGATGCGCACCCACTACGGCAACGACTACAGCTCGAGGGACCTCCCGGACACTCCCGCGGCGTGCTGGGCCTTGGTCGTCAGCGCTCAGGTGCGGTGATGCTGTTGTGTGTTGGTAGCGTAAGCGTGTATGTTGCAAATTGCCTGCTGTTTGATCGGGCTCCGCGCTGGAATCACCAGTGCTTGTGTTGTGTTGTGTTGTGTTGTGTTGGCAATGTAAGCTGAAGGCTGCAATAGCACATGCCCGCGTTCCGGATCGCAATCATCAGTGCCTCTGCGGCAATGACACACGAAGTACAATAGAACGCGCGGAGGTTGTATGATGGGTACCCTTCACTCCTGACGTAGGAGAAACATAGCAGTAGTGCGGTGCCTGGTGGATAATTCCATCACCTGCCGCACATTGCCTGACACCGATGCATAGATAGGTAGTGTTGACTACCGCAAGTCAAGTATGTTGTGTTGGATGTTGGGGCGGAGCTTGAGGACAACATGTCGTGCCCAAACTCAGGAGAAGCAACAAGGGCCGATGCATATGGGCAGTTTGGCTACCCGCAAGTATGTTGTGTTGGATGTTGGAGCGGAGCTTGAGGACAACATTTCGTGCCCAAACTCAGAAGAAGCAACAAGGGCTACAGTAGTACCCTGCCTGGAAGGATTCCGCTTTTCTGTGCCAATAACCAGAATCATCCAGGTCTCCAAAGTGTCCACGACATCGACGACGCGGATAGTGACGGCATGTATCTCCAGTGCTGCAACACACGCGCCCTCGGGTTAGCCTGTCCCAAAGAGAGTTTCCCCTTTCAGCGACTGCCGCGTGCTTGTACCCTGATAGGTAATTCACGCCCCCTACAGCGGCATCTCGTCCGTCCCGGCTTTGTAGGGATGCGAGGCTAATGGTCCAACGACTACGGTATGCACCCCTACAAGTACCCCCCCCCTCCTCCCCCCCCAATTTTACAAACTGAAACGTCCTTCTGTGATTGTGATCGCAGGAAGCTCGCAGAGGGACCCGAAAGCTCTCGACGGCAAACTACATGCAAGAGCAGCCGGCCACCTACGACGCCGAGGTACGTACCGTCGTGGCTCCGATACAAGAGGTACAACACCATATAGGAGGGGGCTCCGATAGATGAGGGTCGAAATCGTTTGTCACGGACTTGACCCACCTTCAGTATAGTTGGGTACCCTCTGATTCCGGTGGGGGGCTCCGATTAAAGAGGGTCGAGGGCCTTTGCCACACCACCCTCTTCACTGTACCGCAGGTGACATGATGGCATAACGCAAGATACCACACACCCTAAGACCGATTTTTCGAAGCTCGGTTGCCCCGCGGCAGACAGGACCAGGCGGTGCCGAAAAAATTGCGGCGTTTTGGGACCGTCTCGTCGAGAGCTTTTCCGAAAACGTACGATGTTGTTTGATTCATGCATCCTCTCCGTCGTGGAGTGGAGTGGTGGAGGGCTGGGCAATCGGTCTAGGAGGCGTGGTCTCTTGTGTCACCTACGGTAGGCACGTTTGATGGAAAACTTCGCCACAACCTCTGGCAGAAGGGGGGGGGGGGGGGGTCCAGGAAAAACCCCCCCCCTCTCCCGAAAAGACAACCAAAAATCCCAAAAAACGAAAAAAAACTGCTACAG